ACAAGAGGAAAGCCAAAGGACCCTGGGGGTCACAGACATATTGAAGGATCCACTCACAAAGGATTCACTCACAATGATGGCAGGAAAGAGTCATGAATTAGGACCTAAAAGGTTAGGATTAGTCTGTGATTACTGTGGTTATAAAGGACGCCTCAAGGAAAATTGTAACAAGATAGTGGGGTATCCACCAGGTTTCAAAAGCAAGAAGAAAGGTCAAAACTCAGGAGGGAGGACCTATTTAAATAAGGCAACCACTAGTGAGGTAAAGCAGGAGGATATGGTGCCAACACAAGGAAATTTCTTTACTGAGGACCAATACAAACAATTGGTGTATTTGTTGTAGAAAACCACCACAAGTGATGCTTCCACAAACATTGCATGTATTATCACTTTATAGGCAAATGTAGCTGCTAATTATCATGTTTGGATAGTGGACTCAGGTGCAACTCACCATGTGATACATTGTAAGAATGCTTTAAGTAATCTTAAAATAGCAGACCATAGAACAGACGGAGTACAATTAACAATTGGCAATAAGGCAGCCATAAAACATACAGGAGATGCAGTAGTATTAGGAGACAAAACTATTGAAGGAGTTCTATATGTGCCAGATTTTAAGTTTAACCTATTATCAGTCTCAAAACTTACTAGGCAGTTATGTTGCTCGGTGGATTTTTATCCTGGTTTCTGTATATTTCGAGCGCTTTACAAAGGCAAGGTGATGGGGATTGGTAGAGAAAACAATGGATTATACCTGATAAAAGAGAATTTGCCAATAACAGCACCAAGTTTTCTGAAGGAATATGGAGATACAAGATTGTGGCATTTGAGACTAGGCCATGCATCAGCAAAGTCTATGCAGCATATTTCAGTGATGAAGAATAACATACATACTGGAGTGCCAGACAGTTGTGAAGTGTGCCCTTTAGAAAAGCAATGCCGATTACAATTTCCTACTAGTAGCACCAAGTCAATTAGTTGTTTCCAGCTTGTACACATGGATGTTTGGGGACCCCATAAGGTACCTACATATGACAAGAAGCTTTATTTTGTTGCAATTGTAGATGACTACAGCAGGTTTACTTGGGTATGCTTAATACAATCTAAATGTGAAGTAGTTGTTGCAATGAACAACTTCCTTGCAATGATAAAGACTCAGTTTGATGTCACTGTGAAAGTTTTTAGATCAGATAATGGTACTGAGTTCTTCAATTCTCAATGCAATACATTGTTTTCCTCTCTTGGGATTATACTCCAGAGTAGCTGTCCATACACCCCACAACAAAATGGGTTGGTCGAATGAAAACATAGGCATATCTTGGAGGTTCAAGAGCCTTAAAATTTTAAAGTTCAGTTCCTAGGAGGTTCTGGGGTGATTGTGTAAGAACTGCAGTATACTTGATAAACAAGTTGCCCACCAGTATATTGCAAGGTAGATCACCTTATGAGTTGTTATTTGGAAAGCTAGTTAAGGTGGATCACTTGAGGGTACTTGGTTGCTTGTGCTATGCAAGTAACTTACCTAAATGTTATAAATTGTCACGCCCGAACCTGGGCCTAGACGTAATACGACACTCGGTGCCTGACTACATGTGACCGAGCGAACCAACTGGTTGGCTGAATCAACATGTGATATCATAACATACTAAATATGAAGGATAAATTAATATATGCTGATATACTGAAAGTCTGAATAACAAAAATCAAAGTGTGAAAACACTAATATAAGTCTGAAACATATATGTAGCAAACATTGCTTAACATGAAAAGCTTGTGACTCTATCTAACTGTTACTTTAGTCTATGAAGCCTCTAATGAAGTAATGAAAACACTAACTATCTGTAAGTACTGTAAACTGTAAAGTAATGATAATGACCCGAAAGAACTGGGGCTCACCAATAGCTGATACGAGATGTCCTAGCAAGCAGAATCGTCAACCTGTAAATCGTTACCTGCATCGTGAGACGCAGGCCCCGGGCAAAAAGGGACGTCAGTACATTTGAATTGTACTGGTATGTAAAACAACTGAAAGAAATAACTATAAATACTGAAACTGAAACTGATAAATGATAACTGAACTAAAGATAAGAAGTAAGGTTATGAATACTCCCTTCTGAATGATGAACCAACTGTTTATATGAATAAATAGACTGTGGCCTCAGGCCCAATATATATATGTGCACAAACTGCGGCCTCGGGCCCATGTATATGCATAAAGCTGTGGCCTCAGGCCCAAATACAGGTGTTCAACATTGAAGAATTTAGAATCAGGAACTGAGAATCATACTGCAATACATGATACTAAAATACTGAATTGGACTAGACTGAGATGTGTATTCATAATAAGTTGACTTGTCATAACTGAAACTCACAGAATATTGAATGATTATAAAGCTATGCCATCTAGAGAATAGAAGTTCTATGACTATTCATGGAACTAAGGCATAATTACTTTCTGAGGAATCTAGTAATAGTCTTAATGAATGGGACATAGGTAGAATCATAGATATTCCCAAACGTGAAGAGAGTTAGCCTCACATACCTCAATTTTGCCCCTTAGTGATACTACAGTGATCCACAACACTAAAAATCTTCAATATACAATAGCAACATCCAACGGGATCAATATTAGTAACAAATTCCATAACATAAACCATTTAGGCATATTATCAAACACCTTATAGGCATAAATCTCTACATCTCATCACCATATAATTAGTTCATCCAACTACCACCATTCATCAACAATTTATTCCACCATCATGCTTAACCAATTTATAACTTCCAACATCACACATATGACCATCCATACACACCAACCAACAAAATCCCATGAAATAATCATCATTCAATCTCTACAATGGTTGTGTAATTAAATTGGGAATTTATGACATCTAATCTTCATACCAAGAGTTCCAATACTTAATTCATACTCATATCCCCTTAATAAATTCATACACGTAAGTCTAAGGGTGTAGGATTACCTTTTTTGGAAGAAATCTTGCAAAACCCTCCTTTGAGTAATCTTGCAAAATCCTCCTTTGAGTTCTTGAAGAGATCTCTTGAAGTTCTAAGTATTTTATGTGTAGATTTCATCAATACTAGTGTAGAAATGATGGAATTTCACACTAAGATAATGGGGATTGCATACCCTGAAGATGGTAGGAGCTGGTGGTCTTGAGTGAGTGAAGAAGAACCCCAAGATTCGTCCAAATAAAATGGGGGAAATGTACCCCGAAATTGTGTTTATAGGCCCAGATTCCGGATGCGGCCTCGGATGCTTCGCATCCCCAATTCACTCCTCTCAGGAGCTCGGATGCTGACCCGGATGCTATGGCAGCACTTCACTGCCAGCCCCTCTTTTCGGACGCGGCCTCGGATGCTTCGCATCCGCACATTCCTCCGCCAGCCTTTGATAATTTGGTCATAACTTCTTGTAGGAATGTCCAATTGACGAACGGTTCGAAGCGTTAGAAACTAGACTCAAAGAACTTTCATATAATAGGTTGTGAATCACATAAAACCTTATATATATGTGGATATGCTTGTCCAAAGTGTGGTCTTGTGCTTACCTATTTGAAATTTTAGTCTATCATGTAATTTTTCAATTTGGCTGAGACTTAGGTATCTTTTAGACTCTAAGTCACTTATGATATGCCTCGTACAATTATTATCACATCCAATTAATAACCATCATATTAGTAGTCCTCGTCTGCACACGACTTATTCAGATTTATAGAGTGTTACATAAATTTAGAGTCAGGGCAAGAAAGGCTATTCTTATTGGGTATTCAGAAACTCAAAAGGGTTATAGCCTGTATGATCTAGAGAACAGGAGTATATTTGTTAGCAGAGATGTGGTTTTCAAAGAGGAGAACTTTACTTTTGGCAATGCTAAAAGTTCAGATGATTCAGAGGATTTTTTCACTTCTCAACATACATTTGAAGTAGGAGTGGTGCAGCAACCACATACAACTGTGATTCCAACTACATCTCAGGACATGCAGTTACCAATTGAAGACAATACTCCTACAGAAGTAGAAATAACAGATGATGCAACAATCACAGACAATGTAATATTTGGTGGAGAACATGAATGCAGCCCAATAAATGAGAATTCTATTTCTGAAAAAGCAGCTAAGCTAACAGAAGCTCAAGAACCTTCTTTAGAAACAACAGAGAAGCAAGTATGCATCTACAACCACCATTTGTAGAAGTAGAAACTAGGAAGTCTAGTCGACAAGGAAAACCTTCCATTTGGCTTAAGGATTACATCACTACTGTTAAGACACACACTAACAATCCTTACTCAATTTCTAATGCCATCGCCTATGATATTCTATATCCTACATATCAGTCCTATCGCAGTGTTTTTCAGTCTTAACTGAGCCACAGTCTTTTAAGGAAGATGTACATGACCCAAGGTGGATAGAAGCTATGAACCAAGAGATTAAGGCACTTGAAGAAAATCACACACCTGGGAGGTGGTAGACTTACTAGAAGGGAAGAAGCCAATTGGATCTATGTGGGTATTTAAGATCAAACACAAGTCAAATGGAGAGGTTGAGAGGTTCAAGGCACGACTACTTGCAAAAGGATACATTCAACAAGAAGGATTGGATTATCATGAGATATTTTCACCAGTTGTAAAAATGGTAACTGTGAGAACTGTCCATACCATAGCAGCCTCAAAGGGGTGGATCCTCTATCAAATGGATGTCAACAAGGCATTCCTACAAGGTGATTTGTATGAGGAAGTGTACATGGTCTTGCCACAGGGTTTCCAAAGCCAGGGGGAGAAAAAAGTTTGCAGACTAGTGAAATCATTCTATGGCCTGAAACAGGCTTCAAGACAATGGAACATTAAGCTCAGAGATGCTTTAGTAGGAGCAGGATATCAATAGAGTGCATATGATCATTCTTTGATTACTAAGCAAATAGCACATGACATTGTTGTAATCCTAGTGTATGTTGATGATCTTTTAATCACTTGTAGCAACATGTCTCTAGTGGAAGAAGCTAAGACTACATTGCACACCAAATTTAAAGTTAAGGATTTAGGGGAACTCAGATATTTATTGGGCATAGAAGTGATGCGATTAGATAAGGGCCTGCTGCTAAACCAAAGGAAATATGCACTGGAATTGATTTCTACCATAGGACTAGCTGCAACAAAACCTTCTTCTGCTCCTATTGAGCTCAATCAGAAATTGACTACCACAGAGTATGACAAACATGTAGGACACAATGGAGATGAAGAGTTGCAGGATATAGCATGCTACCAGAGGTTAGTGGGTAAACTGCTCTATTTGACCATCACACGTCATGATATTTGTTTTGCTGTGCAAGTGCTAAGTCATTTCATGCAACATCCTAAAAAATCTCACTTGGATGCTGTACTCAGAGTAGTCAGGTACATCAAGGGCTCACCTGGACTTGGTGTCTTCCTAAAAAGAGGTATTATCTCTCATCTCACTGCCTACTGTGATTTTGATTGGGCAGCATGCCCAAATACACGGAGGTCAATCACATGATATGTTATAAAACTAGGGGAATCTTTGCTATTCTGGAAGTCTAAGAAGCAATAAACAGTAAGTCGTAGCTCAGCTGAAGCTGAGTATAGGAGTCATGCAGCAGTAGCAGCTGAGGTTACTTGGCTAGTTGGCTTATTACAAGAATTGAATGTTACCTTACATCAACTAGTTGACCTCTATTGTGACAGCAAAGCTGCTCTCGAAATTGCGCAACTCCTATCTTTCATGAACGAACAAAACACATCAAGATTGATTGTCACCTTGTCCGGGAGAAAATAAAAAATGGACTACTCACACCTCATCATGTTTCGACAAAGCTTCAGTTGGCAGACATCATGACAAAAGGACTTGGTGTTGCTCAACACTGTTTTCTTCTCTCCAAGCTAGGAGTGTTCAATGCATTTCACTCTCCAGCTTGAGAGGGAATCTTGGGATACAAGAGACTAATAGAAGTATAAGGGGGTTGTTTGAGTTAGTTGCAAATTAGTCAGTTAATTAGTGGCTACTTTGACAGCTGTAAATGCACTGTTACTTAGTTAGTGCAAATGAGGACATTAGGGTGCATTGTATTGAACGACCCAGATCAGAAGAATACAATTCCAATTTCTCTTCCTCTTCATTTCTCTGTTCTCTCGTTAGCTAAGAATCGAACAGTTGAGAATAAGGGTTGGCTGCCATGAACAAGACACCGGAGTATCTAATTAAGAAGATCAAAATTTCCTTTTAAGTGCGGCTGGAGCAAGTACTGTAGAGTTTGTCCGAAATGGATTTACTCTGACCTATGTTTGAAATGAAATTAAGTAGCCGACATGAGTTGGTTGAGATTTGTAAAAAATGTATTTGACGTTGAAATTGAAAAAAGGTATTTGGTCAAAGTTGGTTTTGGACATGATTAAGGGATAAAAAGTTCAAAGTTTGAAGTTGAAATAATATTCCCAAATTTCATATAAAAAACAAACTTATTTGAAATAATCTTAGTTAACACTTTAATTCCAAATATTATTTCAAATCATTGAGCCAAAGTATATATATATGTCCAAAGATTAAGGGATGGGATGGCATGCAGCAATGGATCGGCGGTCAATGGAAAAAAGGACATTACGGGATGGAAGGACATGCAACAATGGATGGTCACAAGTTATAAAATACAAAGTTGCTCCAGAATAATTTAAAGTTATTTCGTACATTGCATCAATTGATTTTGAAGATTCATCAAGAAGCATTGAATTGCATCCAACTACCAACTCGGTAAAACTTCCTGTAACACTTTAATTCCCTCAGCTAAAAACAACTGTGGATTAGTCATAAACTTCTCTATATAAGGGCACTCAAGTACCATTCTTCTCCCACACCTACTTCACTTAGCAAAGCTAAACCATTACTTCAAAGATCACAACTTTTCTTATTTCAAAACTACATTTCATCAAAATGGCTAAGGTTGCAAGCTTAGCAGTAATGTGCATAGCTGCTATGGTGATTGCAATATTTGCAAGCCATGCAGACGCAGTAGTCACATGTGGGACGGTGGCCACAGATTTGTCGCCATGCCTCGACTACGTTAGGATGGGAGGAGCTATCCCTACAATGTGCTGCAACGGTAATGTTGTTGAACTTATAACTGTCTCATTTAAAAGCTTGAGTTGTTAGAAAAATAAATTTATTTTTAATTACTTAATTATATTATGTCTCAATAGGTATTAGGAGCCTTTTCAGTGCAGTACGTAGCACTCAAGATCGCCAAACTGTTTGCAACTGCATGAAATCTGCTGCTGGTGTTATCAGTGGAGTTAATCTCAACCTAGCTGCTGCCCTTCCCAGCAAATGTGGTGTCAATATTCCCTACAAGATCAGCCCATCCATTGACTGCGCCAAGTATATATATATACTCTTTTCATATAATTCTTTCCTTAATATTTCGCAACATTTTTGTGCTTAACTACCATTCTACCATTGTAAAGTACAACTTCAATATAAAAGTGTTTTCACTATCAAGTCACCAAAAAGATAACTATAGTTACACGTCTATTAAAAGTGATATTAGTTAATTACCTGATAAGACATGTTCAATACATTGATCAGAGTAAAAGTTCTTTACACTGCCGGCATATATAAGGTAACTAACTGTAATTTTCATTTGTTGGTAATAAATATTGCAGGGTGCAGTAAAGTTGTTGAAAACTCGTAACTCTGTGGTAGCAGGACGTGGAGTAGCTGATATTGTGATTGTCTGTGATGAAGTTAATAAGATGAATATTTTGATGCTTTCAACATTTCGCCTTTGTGTTCGGTTTTCCTGTTTTTAGTAGTTTTAGTAGTACCTTATATGCGTGCTATTTTCTCTAGCTGCTTAATTAGAGCTTAAGAGGTTGTACCTTTTGTGGTCCTCTTAACTCTAATGAGCATATCATGTATTAACAGCGTGCTACTTTTAATGGTAAAATCTTTTCACCGTTGCTTCTTATAATTGATGGGATGAATTGAGTCATTATGACAAGACAGATGGAATTGGTTCTTAATTAATGAGTTGCTGCCTAGTTACTTCAAGTAGAAATAATGCGGAATGAGATAGAGAACTCGCAAACTCTTTACGTGAAAAATCAGCCGAGCTCAAATTAAAGGTGTGAAATCATGACCCACCCTCGTGGAATTTAACCCAATCTCCCAGGAGCCAAGAAAAGTCCTGGTTCTTAAAAGGCATATTATGTTAATTAATTTTTGTCCTCCTTAATTTAGCCATTAATTTTTAGCATCACTATTTGGACATAATATTCTAGCATTAGGTGGAACTTTCATCCCGAGATAATCAAATAATTTTGGTCAAAGTTTGGTGAGATATTTACACGTGAAAACAGAGTGCAACGGCTTTTCAAACACAAAGAGGGTCTCATGGTAATACTATAGGTGTTTAACGGGCAGGCTGTTTCGGAGTGGACACGGAAAAAAGCAGCCCGTCCGGTTATCGTTCCAAGCTGGTTAGTGGGCTTGGTTTTGGAGCTGTCAGCGGGCTGGGATTTTTCGTTCCGTCCGGATTCGGCCTTAACGGGTCCGGACCGGGCCGGGCAAATTATTTTTTAAAGTATATTTGTTTTTCTTATTCATTGTTATTGATACTTAAGTGTTTGCAACTTTTAAGGCTTAGAATTAAACTTTAAACTTTGAAGTTTAAAGTTCTACATTTGAAATTTGAATTCAAAAATTATAAATTGAAATTTGAAAGTAAGTGGCTACAAAAAATTATTTAATAAGACCAATAGGCAATATGTAAGGATAAAACTCTGAAGACTTTCATACAAAACTCCGAAAATTTTAATACATTTTGGCATACAAAAATTATCATCTATCCAATGGCATGTAACAGTCAAATAATCATTTTCATTTACAGCACAACCAATATCAGAAGTAAGAGAAACTCTACAAGAAAAACTGGCGAACAAATAACGTATATATGTCTGATATTGTCCAAAAAACCTAAAGATATCAGCTCTACAAGTACTTCTAGGAATACCTTTAAACAAAGGGTTATAAATTCTTTGAATATAAGTAACAAGATATGGTGAAGCAACAAAACTAAAAGCTAAACAACCTAAAACAATCATTTTAGCTAATTCTTCCCGATCTTTCTTAATATCGTATTTACCCATTAAACCGCCAGTACCCGGGTTAAGTTGTTGTTGCCCATCTTCCTCATCAGTACCCCATGCAATAGGCTGGTGCTCTACCATGTGCCTACGAAGTTGATCCGTTCCCCCTCCCTTACCGGTCTCATGTTTATAGACTTCCTTATAAAGTTGACATCTTACATAATTTTTATCTTCTTCTAGTCTTTCAAAAAAATTCCAACACTCACTTCTTAATCTTCAATTCCTCTTAATAGGAAGGGAAGACCTACTTGTATTACCACGACCTCCGCCCCTAATATTTTGAGTTTGACTAGCATTACCAGGTGTAGCTGGTGGTGTTTCAAGATTATCAGGTGATTGAATATCATCTAAATTATCATCTAAATCATCATCTATACTATAATTTTCTTGAAGTCGCTCATAATCTACATTTAAATTTTTAGGTGAACTTTCATAAATCCGTGTAAAGCTACTAGAAGAACCAGCACCACCTCTTGATCTTTTAAAAGTTTTACTCTTACTACTACCACCTCTACTAGTGCAAGCTTTTTTGGCTGCTCTTAATATATCCGTTAAGTAAATTAAATTAAGATATTAAATTAATAATTCTAAATTGTTGGCCCAAGTTCAGATGAAGTTTTGAATATAGACAAAATAAACTCAACCATGAACCAGGTCCATCATGTGAGACATACACAGTGTTGATATATTTATTCATGTGACAGACGTGTCAAGATAAGTCTCAAGGGTCAGCAACAATCAGTAACAATATCTTCAGAGTTGATCGAAAAGGTTGCATAGGATAAGGAGTTGAAGTCTCCTTATGAGAAGAGAACTACATCTGGATCAAGGATAAAGAATTGGAGTTTGAAGTGTACTAGGACTCGAATTTGATGAAGGATCAACAATTCGAGTTTTAATCAAACTCTGATTACTAACTCTATAAATAATAAATATTGTTCTCTTTTACAGATGATTGCACATACGTAGAAGTTAAACTAAATTGAGAGCAAAAGAGCTAGGCGAATTTTGCAAGCAATTTATGTGTGATTCAAGTGTGCAAATCTGAAGCTACATGAACCAAGAGTGAAGAACCAATTCCATTGTGTTTTTCTTTATTTCTAGTTCAATTGTAGTAGGTGTTTATTGTACCTTTCAGCTTTTATAGAAGCAATTGTAATAGGTATATTGAGTATTCAAGTTAGAGTTAACTTGAAGGTGTCGCAACAGTTGAGGCTGTGTGCTACACTGGGATTAGAGTTTAATCCTTAGGTTTACAAGAGTTTGTAAATGCTATTTTTTTGGCTCAGTGATTTTAGTGGATGTTTGGGAAAATCCTACTGAGTAGTAGGTCGTGGTTTTTTCACCTTTTGAGCCAGG